AATGCATGGATATTTTTTTGTGAAGCTGCAGATTTATGTTAACTAAGCTACATGACACTTGCACTTATTTTTCACCAAACACTATCCCATTAGGCTGTTTTAATTGTAATCCTAAATTAGGCTCATGGGAATGTGCTGCACACTTTTAAGTGTGATGACTTGATGTAGCCTATGGAAATATGTTGCTGCCTGGTGATGATGATGATAAATAGGAGCGTATTCCCTCAAACAGCTGCCTGCATGCAATCTGCGATTTTGTTTAGCTATAGGCCTCTCAAGTTACAGTATAGCCTAGCTGACCTATCCATCTTATCCAATATTTCTATCGTAGGCCATCAAGAGACGGTTTGCACCCGTGCTTGACAGCAGAGATGCCCTTCTTGCTGCTGTGACGTTGCCAAAGTTTAAAGTGCGATGGTTTATGGAGGAGGGAAGGAGAGAAGCTGCACGGGCGCTGCTGACTACAGTGTCGTTCTGCACCCGGTGGTGTGGAGCCGGGTGCGTCTCATCAGGAGTCTGCCGCCTCCTACAGCACGTCCGCTGAGAAGGATTTCTTTGTCTTCGATGAGATGGAGGGAGATACAGCTTCCTTAAACTCTGAGACAGAAGTCATTGACTATTTTAAGTCAGGGTCAGAGCTGGCAGTCTTGAGCCGTTTCCCTAATATAAAGCGCATCTTCCTGAAATACAACACCGCTACCCCATCGAGTGTGCCGGTTGAGAGACTTTTCAGCCTAGGCAGTCTTGTGCTAACACCAAGAAGAAATCGGTTATCCGATAAACTATTTGAGAGACTCCTCCTAATGCGTTATAACCACTGCTTCAGTGACAAACACATCAAATAAGTGTGAAGTGTTCAGTCTGAGATCATGAGAGGGAGTGTGGCCTATGTTCACAGCCAATGCCACTTTGGCCTATTTTCGCTTTTGATTGTTATTAATGATGTTAAAAGGCCATGTTGACTATATTGTATATTTTTTAGCTTACTGTTCAATTAATGAAGCTCATGCTTTAGGTTGTGTTCTTTTTCATTAGCCTTTAGGCTATTTGCTAATAGGCCTTTTTTTTGTTGAGGCAGTCAATATTTGTGTATTTAATGTGTTATCAAGGCCAACCTCTTATTTAGTTTTATACAGGCTATTTATTTGTAAAGTATTTGTTTATTTTGCCAGTGTCACATCACATTGATATGGCCCACTTGTTCCGTTATTACACTTTTTCTCTTGAAATGTTCTTTAAGTTTCACAGACTGTTAGCTTGTTGTGGTAGGCTGGTAGCCTATTTTATTAAAGAGCATATAAAAAGAAAGACTTGTGTTATATCTTCCTTATTGCAATAGTAATTGGGGGTGCAAGTGGAGTCTCGCAGAGGCAAAACTGTGGCGCGCTTACACTGTAGGTGCGCCGCAGTCTGCGTGATCTGCCTGTAGGGAGGGGCGGGCCGGCCCTGCGAGTAAAGTAACGAGTAAAGTAACGAGTAAAGTAACGAGTTACTTTATGTAGAGAGTAACGAAGTAGTGTAATACATTACTTTTTTTTAAAAGTAATATGTAATATGTAATATATTACTTTTTTTTAGTAACGACCCCATCTCTGCATATAGTTCATGTAGTTCTCCATGTCCACTTGTTGCTAATGGTTGTGGTAGAGGAGCTGTAGATTTTTGCACTAACATCTGTAGCATGGTCAGTAGCAGTAGCTACTGATAGTAGCAACTGACCATGCTACAGATGTGAGCAGCAGAGGTGGGGAGAGGTGGGGCTATGGCTTCATCGTTATCAGAAAATTATCGTATAGGACGTACACACGGAGCCGTTTGGCCCCTCTGAGCGTTCCGTCCGCAGATCTATCCACCTTGGGATCCGTTATCGTTTTAGGGGTCCGTTTCCGCATTTCCGTTACGGCCTCGTGTGAACGAACGGGCTATACAAAAGAGAAAAGTAGCGGATACAACCCGTTTCGTTCCCGTGTAAACAGCACCTAAAACTAGCTCACAATTAACATGTCACAGTTTAATTATTGAACCCATTAAAAAGTGATTAGGTGGTGGTCTACTACCTGGAGTAGCTGCTGGTTGCCTGGCAACTGCATCTCATGCAATTGTACAGCACATAATCCCCTGTCAAACTACCACTCAACGTTTTTAGACCTCAAATTACTAATATCTCATTCACACCAACGCAACTCCGGTTCAAGCTCCGTGCTAGAGCTTTTCAGGTTCAGAACCGGTTCTTCGGTTTACCTCCGGCTCTTTTCACACCGCCCAGAGTCCGACTGGTGCTGCGTCATTGCGTCATCGTTTGCGTCATGACGTAACCGTTTGCGTGCCTGCTTCATAAAGCCAAACCGCGCGGAAACCCCTCACAGCTCACAACGACAACAACAACAATGGCCGATTGTGCTCCAGCTTCCTCTGTACCTCTTCGGAAGACCAGATTCCCAGTAGGTAGCTGGTCTCTTCAGTGGACCACTGCTGCTTGTTAAGTTTCTCCATCGTTGTGTACAAACTGGATAAAACGCGGGCTTTGTGTTGTTGTTCAGGAGTTGATCTGCTCCCGCCTCGACGTAAGCGTGACGTATGTGGTGCTTTTGCTCTGGCCGGACAATTTTTTGGTGCTTGAAACGAACCGGATTCCGGAGCTAAGAGGCTGCTCCACTGCGGTGTGAAGAAGAAAACCCGGTGCTTTTCAAGCTCCATCTCCGAACCAGCCCTGAAACACCGTTGGTGTGAATGAGGTATAAGTGAGCTTTATAAGTCTTGTCAGGTTAATTGTATTTTTTTAGGTCTGGGCAAAGCCAGTCTTTTTGCTAAGCTAGCAGACAGTAGCTTCATGTTTACCTTACAAACATAAGTGGCATCAATCTCATCTAACTCTTACATAACCCGAGCGCGTCTTAACTCCTGTTCTGAAGTCTTTACACTGGCTTCCTGTGTGTCAAAGAATAGATTTCAAAATACTGCTGCTGGTTTATAAAGCACTGAATGGTTTAGGCCCAAAACACATTTCTGACCTCCTGCTAAATTATGAACCATCCAGATCTCTCAGGTCTTCAGGGACTGGTCAGCTTTCTGTCCCCAGAGTCAGAACTAAATATGGAGAAACAGCGTTCAGTTATTATGCTCCAAATATCTGGAACAAACTCCCAGAAACCTGCAGGTCCGCTGCAACTCTGACTACTTTTAAATCCAGGCTGAAGACTTTTCTTTTTGTCGCTGCTTTTAATTGAAACTGAGCCGTTATGTTCATCAGTAAAGTGGAACTTCTGTGTGAACTATTCATATCTTAAACTGCACTGTAACTTTTTATTCATGTACTTTTTTATTCATGTATTTTTTCTTTTAATGTTTCTTTTATTATCTTTTCTTTTTAATGACTGTTTTTAAATGCCTTTGTCTGAATGTCTTTCATTTTTGTAAAGCACCTTGAATTGCCTTGTGTTGAAAGGTGCTATATAAATAAATTTGCCTTGCCTTGCCTAAAGATATTTCCCCAAAATGTGAAACTATAATTTTTGTTTTTTTATCGACAAACACGTCTTTTTTTTCTCTGTTATTATGAACCTTAGTTTACCCTTGTGTTTTTTTCTGGGTTAGCCGTGGTGCATTTTCGAGCATTTGGATGTCATTGGGTCATTGTCCAACAACCTGTCCTCCAGTTATCAGATAATGATATTTTGTTTTTACAATGATTAACCAAACTAATAATCTGATCAGAGCACTTACAGTAAATTGCCAGATGTTCCGTGCATTCATGTGACTTGTTTTTATTATCAAATAATTAGCATGGATTAGCCAATTTGTCTATACAACGGTAAATACATATTTTCCATTTCAGTTTCCCAGATCCCACTGTGATCTTTACATGTTTGGTTTTGTCCAACCAACAGTCTAACATCCAAAGAGATTCCCTTTACGTAAAGAAGAAAAAGAGAAGGAGTTGGAAACAAGGGTTTGACTATACACTTGCTGGAGAAAACAAGGAGATCCCCTGCTGCTACTCCACAGGAGATAACAGGTATAATCCTCCCCTCACACCTACCTGCTATCAGGGAAACCTGAACATGAAAAATAACAATTCTATGCAGGAAGAGCAGCAAATCTTAGAGCCTCATGCTTCATGTATCAACAGTTATCTATCTGACAGCCTGCACACTAAGGGAACATGAATCACAGGAGATACTGTTTGAAGCCTTGACACCACTTTCAGGTTGATAATGAGAGTGGTAGCTGACTGATACGTATCACACCAGTTGATGACGTATCCACTCTCTTCTCACTACTGCATTCACTCATCAGAAGGATTATTTTATTTTACTAAATTACAAGGACATATGAGCTTAACTGACTGAATGACTTTAATGAAAACACGTTAAAGAGCACGTGTTCTCATGCCCCTCAGTGCGTCCTTGTATTTCTCAAACTAATTCAAATGAGTTACATACAAGTCACTTTGTTTCCACTAAGGTGTGTTAAAGAAGAGCTTTAGTTTGAAAAGGGGGAACATTTCTGCATACTGGAATTGTTCATTTTAATTAAAGACATATTATTTCAGTTATATTTATGACATTATATGTAAACCTGGTTACATTTATCACATTGTTGCATATGGCACTACTGATATATTCTGTGTATTTTTAATAGATATATTTGCACTCTTTTCCACGCTGCCACTGCTACACAACTATTTCCTGCAGGCAAAATAAAATGAATCTCTTATATCATCTATTTCTAAAGGAGTACTCAACCCCACAACTACTAACACTGTGTTATATAAAAAAGATGTTCACATTCCTCTACGGAAAATAATGAAAAAAACTGAGAAATTCTAAGTAAATGGGGGCCACGTTTAAAAACAGTACGTTTATTTCAAAACATCTGGCTCAATTAGCTCTCACAAAACTCATACAGAGTATTGAGATCAAGTTTTGCTATCTATACTTGTCTGGTATTTTGATCCTTTGTTCACCTTGGCTGTGGGCATTTTCTGTTAACACACATACCTTTGCGGTACCATGGCAGGAACCATGGGCAGGACACATTGACAGTTGTTCCTGGGAGTCCATCAGGCCAGCAGACATACAGATCAAAGGTCCGGTTACACACCAGCCCTGCAGCGGAGAGCAGGTCTGTGAAATCATGCTACTTAATTCTACTGCAGAAAAATGCTAATGCTGGGAGGAGAGGGGCTCACCGGTGGCGGGGGGCGTGGCGTTGAGGTAGTCCAGGCACTGGTCTTTGTAGCTGCTCCACTTCTCCTTCACAAGCTCCAGGGAGTTTGTAGAGAAGACCTTCAAGAAGAGGAAACGTCATCAAGCCTCGTGAAGTTTCAGCAACACCATCATCACATTTTCTACACCTTCATCTTTCTAGATCAAAGACACATCTCCTTGTGGTGTGTGAAAACGAAAGAGACACTATGAGTCGTACCTTTGTGCAGCTGCAGAGCAAAAGCAAGGCCAAGAGGAGACACACCTGGGACATCCCACTGACGCTGGGAGGATGGGGGTGGGTGGGGACCAGAACACAGAGGAGACCCGACACATGAGGCGGTCTCAGCCCTGTCTCTCCGTGTGGCCTACACACACAATATGGAGGAGCTTGTTAGTGGAAAGGTGTGTGTGTGTGTGTGTGTGTTGGTGGCCTTTTGAACTGCAACTGAAAGAGAGACGGAGTGAAATGATGAAGATATCGGTGAACAATGACCAGAAAAAAGTTACAACCGGTGATGTACTGACTGCTCTCTCACACACAATCCTTCACAATGGAAGCTCTGTATGAACAAAGATCTTGTGAACCCAAGGTCCTTGGTCAAAAACATACCTTTTCACACATTTTTTCTAAGCATTGAGTGCGAAAATGCAGCACAAAAGCATCAAGCATGGATGTTTAACATATAGAAAGATGGGATTGGACAGCAATGGTGAATGGATCGGCGTAGAACATGTACCCTATTGGAAGAACAAATATGTTTGTGTGCATTTGTCTATGCATTATGGAAAGTATACCTCATATAAGGTCTGGAAATCAATAGCATCAAATTACAGGTAAACATTTTTGTGTTTGTGTCATTTCCTGTAGATCGTCTTCATCCATGAAGTTGGAGAACAAAACGAAATCTGAAACGTTTCTGCAAAAAACACCTTGACCATGGAAACATTTTTGGCTAAAACGTTTCAAATTCCACTCTGTTCCAGTCTCGGTGCTTCTGTTGGAGTGCCGTAAGGAAGATGTGTGTGTGTGTGTGTTTCATTGTGTCCAGTGCATTGAACTGCTGTACCTGCCTGAGATCTAAGCCAAACATCGATAGCCTGTTGTGTTAGCACAGCAGAATAAGACCTTCATTTTGAAACAGAACAAACAGCCATTCAGTAAGCTGCGGCTGTTTTTTTTCCAGTAACGTTGGGTTACGTATGGTAACCCTTGTTATATTCGCACAGGCGGAGCCCTCTACTGGACTCTATGGGTACTACCTTACCCTGCGAGCATTCTCCCACTGAGACTTCTATAGACGTAGCCGGCCTTGGGCGGGCCTACCTGAATGCGCGCGCATCACACCGTATAAAAGGAGGCCTCACCTCCTGACTATCATCCTACACCTCTCTTCAGCGAGCGGAATAGGACAGACAGTGCCCTGGGTAGAGGGCTCCGCCTGTGCTAATATAACAAGGGTTACCATACATAACCCAACGTTATATCTCTCACAGGCTCCGCCCTCTACTGGACTCTATGGGTACAGTGGCTGGAGCCGCGATGTATACGCGCACTGTCGTCCAACAACAATATTCCACCCTACTGCCCCTGACCGGCTTTTATGGTCAGCAGCTGCTGCCCCACATTCTCCTTTAACCCGGTTGTAACCGAGGAGAAATCTGGGCTGTGGCTGACAGAGCACACCCTGCTGCGCTTACCTCGCAGAAAGTGTGCTCAAAAAACAGTGCCGGGGGACCCCCCCCCCGCCCATAGACGGATGGGGACAGCCCCCTCGGCCCCGAATGGGCTTACTACACGCCTGCCTCCCTGAATCCCTAAGGATAACAGGGAGAGCGTCAGAGCCCACGTCCCACACTCAAACACTGACCCCGTGCAGAGTGTGTGGACTAAAGTGTGGAGGGTTACCCCCCTCCTGCCTCTCGACAGGAGGAGAGTAATCCTCCAGCCCTGTAAGGGCCCAGTGCGCCCCCCCCCCACCCCTCCCGGGACCCTCAGAAGGCCCGAGAACAGCGAAGGCGCATTACGTCCGGGGAGGGGGTCAGATGCCAACTGACCCACAACCCCCCTCCCCCCTACCAGTCCTGTGTTGCCCCCGCAAGCACAGACGAGGAGAAAGAGCCCGACATGTCCAAGAGATAAAACCTTATGAAGGGGCCTGGCGTCGACCAAGACGCCGCTGTGCATATATCCTCCACACTCACACCGTTGAATAAGGCTGTTGACGCAGCCACAGCCCGTGTGGAGTGTGCACGAACCCCCGTGGGGCAGGCTCTCCCTGCCTGTCCGTAGGCATGTGCAATGCACTCACAGAGCCAGCCTGCCAGGCGTTTCTTGGACAGAGCTTTCCCGATCACCCCGCCCCCGAAGCACACGAACAGCTGTTCGGTACGTCTAAGGGCAGCCGTGCGCTCCACATAACATGCTAGCGCACGCACCGGGCAGAGGAGGTGCAGTTTAGCTTCCCTGGTCCCACCATGGGGGGGAAGACTAAAACCCCCTAACTGAATAGCCCTTGACCTGAACGCACTCCTTAGGCTCTTGGGCACAAAGGAGGAGTTCGGTCTGAGTGTTGCGCCGCTCTGGTCACCCCGAATCTGTAAACAGCTCGGGTGCACCGACAAAGCAGTTAACTCGGACACTCTTTTGGCTGACGTTTAAGGCAAGAAGCAAAGCTGTTTTCCACGACAATGCTTTCAGAGAGGAGAGCTCCAGAGGCTCAAACGGCCCAGAGGCCAGAGCCTCGAGCACTAGGGGCAGGTCCCACTGTGGGGTGGAGGCGTGCACTACTGGGCGCAGCCTCCTGACCCCCTGTAAAAACCGCAACATCAGTGGTTGACTAAAGGCTGACCTGCCGCCAAATCCCTCATGGCAGGACGAGATGGCTGCTGCATACACTTTCACTGTTGAATGCGCAAGCCCTCTGTCCACCAGTAACTGTAAGAAGGATAAAATAGAGCCTAACTCACAAGATAAGGGCTCTATTCTCTGCTCCTCACACCATCGCTGGAATCCTAGCCACCTTGGCCTGTAACAGGCTGTGGTGGATCCAGCTCTAGCTGCCTGGATAGACTGAATAACACTATCAGACAATCCACCCTGTCTCAGCCTGTCCCTCTCAGGAGCCAAACCTGGAGAGGACGGCCGAGAGTGGGTAACGCCCCGATTGCACCTGCCTCTTGAGACATCGCCCCCCAGAACTGGGGAACCGCCCAGGGCTGGCCCACCTTCATCTGTGTCATCTCTGAGTACCACGGCGCCCCAACGCGCCACTAGGATGACTGACAGACGTTCTCGCCTCACTCTCCTCAGGAGGGGGAAAATGAGACGCAGCGGTGGAAAGGCGTATAGCAGCTTCCTTGGCCATGGCTCGTGTGCAAACGCGTCCACCCCCAAGGGTGGGTCGTCGCTCCGAGCCACGGAGAACCACAGGGCACAGTGGCTGTTTCGCCGGCTGGCGAACAGATCCACTTCCGCTCTCCCGAACTGGGCCCAGATTTGCTTCACCACCCTCGGGTGAAGCACCCACTCGCCTGGCAGGGGGCCGCTCCTCGACATGAGGTCGGCCCCTCTGTTCTCCAGTCCCGGGATATGGAGGGCTCTCAGAGATAACACCACCTCTGAAGCCCATAACCACAGTTCCTCCGCTGTGGTCAACAAGGCGGCAGATCGAACTCCGCCCTGCCTGTTGATGTAAGCTACTGTGGTGCTGTTGTCGCTCCTGACCATTACATGCCTCCCTTGAATTAGGGGCCTGAAATGCTGGAGGACTAACACTACCGCCCGTAGCTCTAGGAGGTTGCTGTGTCGAGACTCTGTTAGAGCCCAGCGCCCACCTATAGCGCTCTTCAGGCAGGTCCCTCCCCATCCTGTTCTGGATGCATCCGTGAACACTGTGATGTAGGAGGTCACCCGTCCCAGTGGAGACCCCCTCCGGAGGTGATCCGGAGACCCCCAAAACCGGAGGTTGCCCTCCACTGAGGGGGGGGATGGTCACCAGCCGCCGCCTGTGCCTCTTGGGATCCAAGCGCAGGCTGGAGAACCACCTCTGCAGGCGGCGCATATGTAGTAACCCTAACGGGACCACCATGTGAGCAGCCGCCATGAGACCCAATGTCTGCATGACAGTAAAAGCTGTCACTGTTGCCCCCTGTCGCAGCCTGCGCACCCCCTGAAGAAGGGACGCACGTCTGCTCTCTGACAGGGTGGCGCGCGACGCGCCTGCATCGAGCACCACACCCAAATACAGCGCCCGTTGGTGAGGTATGGGGGTGCTCTTTTTCCAATTGATCGCAAAGCCCAATTTGGTCAGGTGTGTGATCAATTGTGCTGTGCAAAACATTTCCTGTTCCCGTGACCCAGCCATGACTATGAGGTCGTCTATGTAAAATAAAACTCTCATGCCGTGTGCGCGCAACGGTTGAAGCGCTGTGGCCACACATTTGCTGAATGTGCGTGGGGATAGGGAATAGCCGAACGGCAGCCTGTTGTACTCGTAGGCTATTCCCTGGAAGGCAAAACGCAGATACTTTCTGTGCTCTGGAGCAATTTCTACATGAAAGTACGCGTCTTTCAGGTCGATGGTGGTGAACCAATCGCCTGGCTGCACAAGCCCCAGTAACTATTTCATAGTTAACCTGCGGAATTTCCTGCAGGAAATGTGGCGATTCAGGCCGCTGAGATCTAGAATAGGTCTAAATTCCCCTGTCTTCCTGAGAACCAGGAAGTACATGGAATAAAGATCATTTTCTCTGTGCTGAGGGTGCACAACAGACACAGCCTGTTTCTGCACCAGAGCCTGAATCTCTGCTGAGAGGAAACACATCTCCTCCTGGGAGGACAGATTTACCTCTTGCATGCCCATAAAAAAGGTGGGTGTGGGACACCCACAAGACAGTGGTCCATGTGATACATTGGTACAGTGTATAGACATGTGGTACAGTGGGACGCTGCAAAACTGGAGTGAATGGCCCCGTTTCAGCGTCATGTCCCTCCACCTTGTAAGCACACAGCTGAGTTTCCATTCCCCAGAACATTGTGTTAATGGACAAGCCCTCAGGTGTGGGGCAGCAGCTATGAAGCTGTGATACTCTCTGGTGACCCGTTTCGCCGCAACAACTCCCCGCGAAGGGAAGATTTGCCCATGGAGGGTTGACACAGAAAGGGCCGATTATTTACTGAGGACCCTGAACGGACCGCCGCGCGCTCTTGTGTGAGCGCGCGCTCCACCCTAATGCTGTTCTCACCACTACGGTAAACAGCATTCATCGGAGTCTTTATAGGCGTAGTGTGTTTTACTAAGGTCCCTGAACGCACCGCCACGCGCTCTTGTGTGAGTGCGGGCTCCGCCATAATGCAGCCTTTACC